ATTGTTCTTTAATTAATTAAAATAAATATATATAAGAAAAAGTATATAGAGAGAGAAAAGGATGGGCAACAAAGAGAAGATTGAAACAGAAAAAGTTTATTGAAGAGAGAGAGAAACAGATTTGGGGATTTTAAAAAGAGAGAGGAGGTGTAATTTTTTCAGGCATTTTATAATCAAAGATTGAGAGTTGGGCCCATTTCCATGATTGCAGAGGTTGTAGAGAGGAATTGGAACACACCTGGACTAAGTTTATTTTTAATATTATTTATTTATTTATTTATTCTTTGAGTTTGTGTAGTTGCATAGAGAGGTTTGGAGAGTTGCATAGAGAGATTTGAGAGACAAAGGACAAGGATATTTTAGTCATTCACGAGATATTTAACGACAAAAATTATTAAAATTAGACAAAAAGACCCTTTAATGAAATGAAAGTAAACGCTGGGAACTAGATATCTAATAAACAAAAATGCGAGGATGACTTAATTAATTTTGTAAAACCTCAGGGACCAAATTAGATAATTATGAGAATGAGTAGTGTTACTACTAAATGTAGTTAAAGGTTTAAATTTTAATGATACTGAGCAGTTGTTAACATCAGAATAGCATATTTTCTTTTAAGCAAGAAATATTTGAAAAAAAAATAGAACAAAATTTTGAAAACATTTTGATGCTTACAACAATGTATCAGCTATGGAGAAGAATAAACCTGTATATAATGACTTTCAAGCTTTAATATGATTCTCAGTGTTTTCTTGAGAAGAAATAAACATTTTGATGTTTAGTGTTTGGTGAACTGCAGATTATCAAATTAATGACTTTCAAGTTCTAATTTATGAGTTCATGCCTAAAGGGAGTGCAGAAGCTTAGTTACATTCTCAAAAAGTTGCAAGTGAAAAAAAAAAAAGGAAAAGCCTTAATCTTGAGCAAAGATTAAATAGTTCTCTAGGCATAGCTTTTGCACTCCATGTCACGATTCGAAACTATAGGCCGCACTGGCATTAGAACCTAGGTAAGTTTAAGGGCCTCGAGGCCAGTAGTAACCTTAAACCACATGATTCTATCACTTCAGACAAATCTTAGAAACTGTAAACCCATTGTAGAAGCTTAAATTTTGCCCCTAAAAGGTTCAATGATGATATATTTTTTTTTGAATAAATTCGGATCGGGATGCTCGATCGCCCGGTTCTCAGACCAATGGTCCGCCACTGAAATTATCTATGTGTTTAACCATTTTTACTTTTTTGGGTCACCAGGCGTTTCGCGACAAAACCGAGCCTGCTAGCACACTTTCCAGTGCATCGCCTCATTTCTTATGCCACCTGGTCCGATTCTGTAAAAGTCGGCCCGATCTTATTGCGGGGTCGACAGTGGCGTTTTTGCCACATCAGCCCTAAATGGGGCCACCTCACCCTCAAATGTCTATAAATAGACATTGGGGGGTGACCTTTACGAGAGGATTTTTTGAATTAGAGGGTAAATTATTGCTTTTTAAAAACTCAAACAAAAAGATCAAAGGCAACAAGTGTTAACCTTTGATCTTTAGTTGAGATTTTCGTTTATTTAATCATAAAAGACCCCAAAGATCAATCAAAGAATCCTAAAAAAAAACACATTTTTAATCCTCAATCTCGGATTATTAGATCAAGGACCAAAGAGTTGGGTTTCCTCATCCATTTTCATCAAATCTTTAAAGGAATCTCCAAAAGATAGTTTCTAAGAACCTTAAACCTATTTCTCCGCCTTTGTCCTTTCTTTTTCGATGTTTTAAACACCTATTCTAGGTCTGGTTTTGAGGGAAACATAGGATCGACCATTAAGAGGATTCTATGCCTCTGTGGCGCACAGCCGAGCTAGTGGCGGGCGCCATAGGCAAGTGGCTCACGTCACAAGCATGCAGATTCCCCTGTTTTTACTGCGTTAAGCAGAGAAGCCTTCGTGATCAGGGAAAGGCCCTGTGCCACTACGTGTGGCATGTGCCATACGCATGAAGCGCACGCCATAGTCCCTGTGGCGCAAGGCCTTTTAATTCAGAGGCTTTGAATGTATAAAACCCAATAAATGTCCCGATTTAGACATCCAATGACCAAGCTCTGACCTTAAACGGTTCATAATGTGTACTAAGTCAGATATGGATTGACTAAACAACAAAAATGAGATTGAGAATAATGATTGATGTATTTGCTCACCTTCGAAAGATGAACATCAAGATAAAGAATTTAAATCTCAATAACCATTTAAATTCATGACATTTAATTATTGTTCTTTAAATTTCAGTCCTTTATTTTTATGCACTTTACTTTAATCTTTTTTACTCTTTTGTTAATCTAACCCTCTAACCTAAGCATAGAACATCCTAACATTATCATTTGTGTCATTATTGATTGAATGTATGCTTTCTACTTCTGGGAATGATTGCTATTATTTTGTGGTTATTGTTCTTTATATTTGGATTGATGTTTTATTCATTGTGTTAAGCTCAATGTAAAGGGTCCATAAGGACTCCTATTATTGCTTGTTTGTAATATTAAATGGTTTGGAAAATTTAGAGGGGTGAGTGTATATTGTATTATTAGGATGGCTTTGTAACTCTTTTCTCCTCCCTCCTTCTTTATTTATGCTTTTATATTTCTTTTTTATTACGCTTGCAATACTTTGTGTAAATGACATAGTTTGTTAAAAATTGCATTAAAATCGTTTTACATCTCAATTAAAAGTTAATCTCATTATTAATTATTATGAATTAATGAACAACGAGGAGGCCAATTTGACCGAGTGAAATAGGTGCCTAACATCTTCCCATTTCGTACCTAACTCCTGAACCCATCTTTGGTTTAAAATCAAATTAGGAATTGGCTAATTCGAGAATTTTTCCCTAATAAGGGTGGCGACTCCAAAATAAAATTCTTAGCAAAGTAAGAAAACCTTTTTCGAGAATTAAACGAGTTTAATAAAAGAAAACCATTTTGATAAATAAAATCAATCAAGCACGTTCGATTCGGTTCTTTCCAAATTCAATCTTTTGGGAAAACCACGCGTCCTTAGCCTGGCGACTCCACCGGGGATCGAATCCAGAATCTTTGATTTTCAATTTTGGGTTTGAATAAGTTGACTCTGAAAGTTGTCCAATTAGTCACAATTTTTAAATAATATTATTAACTCTAGATTGAGTTTACTTCTTGTATTTATACATATCATTCATGCATTTATCTCTTCTTTATCTCCTTTCCACCCTAAACCCTAAAGGTGATATTGGGGGTCATGATCCTTTCACTCTACCAAAAGAATTGGCACAATTTGTTATCACCAATGCGCTTAGACCCAAAGCAAATGGGAAGAAACAACCAATTCTCACTTATGGAACCCAAGACTTAATAGACCCGACCTAAGCTCATGTAATTTACCCTAATTCCTTCCTTTAGGAAATACCTTAATAAAAAATCATTGTTGCATTCATCCAATAAATGTGTGAGACATCGGTCCAAAACCTCATGATGGTTTATGGGCCCAACCTATATGTCCTAGGGTTTAGAAAAGAATTTGATCTCGAATCGTGTGTGGGAGATATAAGGGTGGAGATTATGCATTTCCTAACTGCCATCCCCTTTGTTTGTATATAATTGTTGTGATTGTGTCATGCTTCTTCCATGCATCATTTAACTTGTTTTCTTGTAGCCATTTAGGTATATTCCATCATGACTCAATCCCAATGATCAAAGCGCTAAAGGGCGAAAGACTTAAGAGAAGTCTTGGAGGCAAAACAAGCTAAAAGAGCTCTTTCCAATAGTGGTCAAGGCCTAAATGCCTAAGAGGGAAGCTCCTTTGATTCCAACTTGAACGAAGGAAGACCAATTAGAAGAGGCTCATCAACTCTTGCTTGAAATAAAGCAAGTGCAACTTGAAGCCACAACTCTCTTCCAAGGCATGGAGGGGCTGTTTACTCTCATGCGCAATATCGCCAACCGCCTTATGGAAATAGGCCACTTCACTCTAGAGGATACAAAGTCATATGAAACCTCTTAGGCATTGAGGTTTAAATATTATAAATATTTAGTAAGGGCCTCAAAAGAACAATGAATGTAAAAGGTTCACTTTTGGAAAGTAATGAAAGAATCTATTTTTAAGCCAAATATTATTGATGTAAAAAGAAAAAAATAGAAAAGCTAAGAAAAAATCTCAAATGTATATAAATAAAGAATCCTGCTTAAGTAATACTATGCTTGAGGCAAAAAGTAAGGGATACAAAATAAGAAATAAGCAATAAGGCATTATAAATATTTGGAGACGAAGTAAGGGCACATTTTACACCTAACAGTTCTTAAGAGCCTCTCTTCGACTTTAGATTTGAGGAGTTGTGATAAACCCTCGATGGAATATAACATTAGGTACATTTCACGATGTTGTGATTGTATGATCGCATTTTGCATGACATGACATATTCATACATCAATGCATACATACATCATGTCGTGTTTTTTAACATTCATTTTCTACAGTCAAGATAGCGCCGCATAGAGAAAAAGCGCTAAAAGCAGTCACTTGGTTGAGAGCAGATAGCCGGTTGATTAGAGTTAAAGAACCTTCAACCCCCCTCTGATTTACCTAGTTCAGTATCTTCTAATCCATCGGGCTCCTGCTTTAAGATTGAGTACTCTCCAGTTCGAATAGATTTGCCAGTTTTAGCTTCTATCCCTGCTGATAAAATGGCTCAGCGACGCATTCCCGTTTCTATAATCGGGAAGATGATTGAGAAAATAGTAGCAGCTAGTCTTGAGAAGCTCATGAGATCCGATAAGGGAAAAGAGAAAGTGGTAATCGAAGATGACAAAGAGGCTAAGGATGAGTCTGACAAGAAGGAACATGTTGATGACCACTTGGCAAGATGACGAGTTTTTTAAGAAGATATCTACCAAGAAGGTTGAGTCTGAGCTAGTCATCGCAGAAAAATTTTAAAAGTTAGATAAGAACTTGAGAAGCGGCATGTGTTCATGAAAACCAAGGGAATGGACCAATATGTCGATCTCGATGATGATGATGATGATGAGGAGTTAGAATTTAAGCAAGTTATCCCCATTACTTATAAAATGCCAAAAGTGCCAAAGTACGATGGTAATGGTGACCCCAAAATGCACCTCATGCAATATAAGTTTATCATGGAATTGGTGGGTCTGCCGTCAAGGGAAATTCTGAGGATGTTCCCGATATCCTTAATTGGGTCTACCTAAACTTGGTATTACAATCTCGAGAAGAGGGTAAGGGGAGATTGGAACGAGCTCACCACGATTTTCCTTAAAGAATACACTCATAATCTCCAAATGAGCATTAATTTGAGAGACTTAGAAACGATTGTGCAAAAACAAGACGAGACCTTCACAGATTATATGGCTAGATGGAGAGCCAAGGTCATGCAAATGAGGAAACGTCCGAAAACAAAAGTATATGAGGTAGGGACTGCCATCGAGGACAAGATTAGAGAGGACAGGAAGTATGGGAACCGTGCCGGAGATTTCAGCAAGTCTGGGTTCCAAGGGTCTAGTCAGTCAGCCAAGACTCTAAGCACCAACAAGAACACAACAACTGTCGCTCTAAATTTCAGAGCCACTAATGTGCCACAAAGGAGATTCTCCAACTTCGGCACTTCTCTTTCTTCAATGTTCGAGAAAGTAAAAGCAGCGGGTTTGTTGAGACTGCTCGCACCAAGACCTCCTCCAATAATTTTGCCAAAAAATTTTAATCAGAATGCATACTGCCACTTCCACAAAAGCAAAGGTCACACCACTAACAATTGCTTACAATTAAAACATAAGATCCAAGGTTTAATTGACAATGGAAAAGTTACTGAGCCTGAAAAATTGAGGCCAAGCACGAGGACTAATCCACTTTCTAATTTTCGTAACGTGCTGCCTCCTAAGAATTTGTATATGGTAGAGTCAAGTACGACTCCCGAGGAAGTTATGGTCGAGTTTGAGGAGGAGGAGGTAGAAGGAGAGAAAGAGATATTGTTGGAATAGATCTATGTGATGGTCCTGAATGTGTGGGATAGGGATGAAGAATGGTTGGATCAGAGTGAGCAAGTCTGGAAGGAAGTGATGATGAGGCAATGGTAAATCCAATTATTCTGGATGTATGGAGTAGCGAGGAGGAAGAAGAAGCGAGAACTGTAAGCCATATGACTTGAAGTGGTCGGATCTATCAGCTCGATATGATCAAGCTTCAGGATGAAACAGAAAAGGCAAACTCATCGGTTGTGCCAAAAATAGAAACAGAGGACGATGCTCTGATTGAACAAGTGAAGAGAACCCATGCAAATTTAACCATATGGGACTTGCTAGTGTTGTTAAAACAACATCGAGAAGCTCTGCTAAAAGCAATAGTAAATATTCCCATTTTATCATCTATTTCTCCAGCTGATTTTGTAGGGTTAGTCTAGCATAATCCCCTCACTATCACTTTTTTCGATGATGAACTTCCTCCTAAAGGAAGGAATCAAACCAAAGCATTGTTCATAAACGCCAAGGTTAGAGGGAGAGTTTGGAAATGTGATGATAAATGACAGGTCAGCCTTGAACATATGTCCTCTAAAGCTGCTTTCCAAGTTCAAAATGAAACTATCTGATTTAGAGCCTTCTGATGTTGTGATTAGAGCCCATAATGACTCGAAGAGACTGATTAAGGGTATTTTCAAGACTACGGTCAAGGTGGGGCTGATAGAAAAGGAGACCGAATTCATTGTGATTGACATCCCCCACCCCTCAACATTTGCCCTACTCTTGGGGTGCCCATGGTACCATTCCTTGGGAGGAGTACCATCAATGTTACGCTAGAAAATCAAATTTCCTTTCAATGGTGAAGTCATCACCATACCTTCGGCCAGTGAAAGGAGTGTAACTATGCTTAATCTGGACAAGCAAGTAATCCTCCCATGGACCGATTTTTATATTGCTGTTTTGAGCACTGAGATGGGGCCCATTGTTTCCAACATTATCAAAAGAATGAACTATGAAGAAGGAAGAGGGCTTGGAAAGAATCAGCAAAGCATTACAGAGTTACCTGAGATCCACACTGAGATCCACACTCAAAGAAACCGTATGGGCTTGGGGTACAAAATTGGGATCACACCATCGAACACATACGACTGGTTGGACGTGGATGGATGATTGACATCTTGGCGGTTGAGCCCAAGGAGTAGAAGCAAGAGAGAGAACTTGGGGGTTGAAGGGCCACAAGCGGCTGAGGAGGAAGAGAAGAAAGAAGAACAAGAAGAGGAACAAGTTTCCTAGGTCAAGGAAGAAGAAAGTAATGAAGAGAAGGTGAGCGCTAGCAAAGTAGAAGAGGACCCTGCTAAGCAAGTTTTGAAAGTAATAAGGGCCTATGTTGAGGAAAGCTTTGAGGAAGCTGAAGCCTCTACTGATGTGACTATTTCTATTAGAGATGAATCCAAGTGTAATGAACTGTCTATGCTATTTAATAAAATGAACTTTAATTTTGCTTACTTGTTTGATGTCTTTCTATTGCGTCTCTGAGTTACTCGCAAGTATACAGATCGCAACGTAGTAATAAAAAGATCAATCTCACGAGGAACGGGTTATTTACTACTTTATTCTTAATTTTATGTTTACAGAAATACAAATGTGAAATGATTTATCTATAATTCTAGTTATGTTAAATCTAAATGTTACTTAATTCTATAGATAAGTGTGTAGTAGTATACTTAGAAAAATTGATCATGCACTGGATTTTCTTCTTCTATAGCAAAACATGTAACATGCAATAAATTCCTTTAATCACAATATAAAATAATAATCAACCTCTCTGATGAAATATTCTATTATAATGTAATTGTCTACTTTAAATAAATACCTTACCTTGTTAAATTAAACCTAGTTCTTATCTTGATTATCCAACTAAGACTAGATTTAACTTTGACAAAACAAGTGAAATGTCATAGCAAATTCAACAAATGAACTTATCTCTTTTGATCTTTAATAAACATTTTCTTCTGAGAAAATAAATTTTAGCAAACTTGGAGTAAACAGGAGATCAAAAGATTAACTTAAAGAACTTTTATTGATATGAAAACCAATTGTATATGTGCCTTGTATAGAAAAAATAAAGAAAGAACAACAATACAACAAGTCTTAATAAAACAAGAAGAAAAAATAGAAGAAAACAAACTAAGCCTTCCGGAGGCCGCTACACCTCGAGGGAATTCTTGATGGTCTTTGACAAAAACAATAATAAGTGACTCTTGTCACTTACTTCTAAATTACTAGCTACAACCTTTCTAATTACAACTTTTTTCTTACTCTTTTTACCACTTAGTGTCTAACATCTCAATCTAAATCGAATATTTTCTCTTCATTTGGAATGCTATTATAAAGAGGAGGATGATATGGTGATTGGTTGGCCAAGAGGTGCTTCAGGTGACTCCTCTTGGGAAAAAGTCCCGACCTATGCATGGGAAGACATGATTTTTCTGGTGAAAGGGCAACAGTTGACGTCTCCTGGAAACACGATTCGCGCTCGCAAGTTATAGTGTCGTGCTCACGATCTTTGCTTATAAAGTCTCTGCCTCTTCTGGAATGCTTTTCGCGCTCGCGTATTTTAATGTCGCGCTCGTGACTTATGTTTTAATGCCTTCTGAGTCTTTTAGCACATAGGTCGCGCTCGCGATTTCAGGTGGTGCTCGTGACTTTGTCAGTTCTTTCTTTGCAGCGCGACCTCATTCGCGTCGCGAATTTTGCTAGGCAGGTTCTTCCATACTTAGTCAACTTTTGGTCCTCTTTTTTTATAAAAGCAAGCCTTTTCATTCCTTTGCTCAAATTGTATTATTCCTACAATCACTTTAAAACAAAAAGACAACACGAGAAAACGTAAAATGTATAAAAACAACATGCAATCATGCAAATTATGTGAAAATAACATAAACAAATTGCCCGCTTTGCGAGGCTATCACTTTCATGATGGTTTCATTCATCAAGTAAATAAGCACATACGCATATTTGACATTAACTCATCATGCATACTTGAATTTAATATTGGTACAAAATATAATCCACAAATTCTATTAATTGGGCCAAACCTAATGCCAAAGTACAACAAAATTTCAAAGTCTACTCATGGATAAAAAGGAAGCCTTCGCATGGAGTTATAAGGACATGCCAGGGATAGACAGATCTCTAACTGAGCACACAATTCCTCTGCATCCTGGAGTCAAGCCAGTAAAACAGAAAAGAAGAAGGTTGAGACCAGAATGGGCCAAGAGGATTAAAGAGGAAGCGACCAAGCAGATAGACATAGGATTTTTAGAAGTGGTTCACTATCCAGAACGGTTGGCGAACATAGTCCCAATTCCTAAGAAAGATGGAAGGGTCAGAATGTGTGTGGACTATAGGGATTTGAACAAAGAATCAGCGAAGGATGATTTTCCTCTCCCTCATATTGATATCTTGATTGATAGTGCAATACTGATGGGATGCTACTTTATCATGGATGAATTTGTAGGATATAACTGTGAACCCTCCCCCGAAGGCAAAGTTATGCTAGAACGAGGTATGCTCATGTGTGTGTTTTATGAAGTTGCCACCTAGTTTATTGTCATAAGGGAAAACTAAGAAAGAACCCTAAATGACTCCAATTTTAATTAACCTAAGTCTAGATTAATTACCCCAAAGTTTAAGGCACAATCTATGGACCCGAGGTGGATCCCGAGACTATGTCATGCTGATTAACTAACCTAAGTGTAAATGCTTTGCAAGGTAATTTGATGCAATTGGACCAGTAAAGTGTTGCCCGGGTTAAAGTCCCGAAGTGCCTACGGTGGGAATACTCTCGTTGAAGAGAGATCAAAGCGACGTAGTTCGATAAAGCCTAATTCAAAGGCATTTTGAAGGGTAGCCTTCCATGCATGAGTGTGTGCATGCTTCGTGCATTTTTTAGGCATTTTGCAAAGAGATTGATTTCCCTGTTTAGGCATTTGTTGCCAAAGTATTGATTGGGCAATTTAATTGCCATAAAATTGATGTTTTGGGCTATGTATTCGCCCAAATGGTGATTAAGGCATGTGCCAAAAGTTGATAATTTAATTAAGGAATTTTTGCCCAAAGATTGGTTAGGCGATTTGTCGCCAAAAGATAAGGGCATTGGCCAGGGGTTTTGTTTGGGCGATTTGCACCAGAGATAAGGCATCCGTGCCAAATACGATGATTTATGTAAGTTAAGGCAATTTGATGCCAAAAAAAAGTGAATATTGGCGATTTTTGCCAAAAAGTGGTTATTGTGAAATTATAGAAAGATTCTGTTGCCAAAAAGCGAATTGATTGAACCGTAGGCAATTTGTTGCAAAACGTATTGATTAAACTGTAGGCAATTGTTGCCAAAAAACGGATTGGATTAAGCGTAGGCAATTTGGTGGCTCAAAAAGAAACGGAATGTAGGCTTTTAGCCACAATTATTGAATTAATGGACTGTTTAGCCGTAACTGTGAAAATCAGAAGGCAATACACGTAGATTTTAATTAAGCTAGGAACACGTTTAAACGCAATTGAGTATTCGAGGTTGTAGCATTAAGTACCAACGATATTGATTAACCGGGCATTCTACCTAAACTTGATTTACTGTAGTGCAAGTGCTTGCCAAAATGACGATGGGTGTGAATGCAGTTATTTAATTAGAAGTTTTAGAGTAGAAGAGAAAATGCCAAAATGCATGAAATTAAAATGGGTGAGTAGTGTCGTATACCTGAGTTACATCGGCGGCCGCTTCTTAGCTAGTTCAGTTTGAAAATCCAATTAAGCTCCTCGCTGGGGAAATCTAATTGAAGAATCAATTGCAATTTAAGTGCCAAAATATCACAAAGCGAGTAATAAAACCTATACTAAAATTCAGAAAAGCAGAAAGAACCCAAGGAAGCGTAGGAGAGAAGAGAGCGTCCGTTACACAGACCGAGTGCCCTAAAACTGTCCGATCGAAGCTCGTATGTAGGCGAAAAAACCAGGTTGGAGGGCGGCGC